ACTGAAGTTTTAAAAACATGATGACCAACCACTTTTACTCCTGTAAACACACACCAAAAAAAATGCACAGGAATCTCATTGAATCGTTATCCAAACAGCTCAATCTGAAAGCACCTGAAGTTTCTATTAATAGAAATAGCACATTAATGATATCATTTCAATGTAATATTTACACTGATGAGAGTGAATTCTAACATCTTATGAGGGAAAAACATGTATCATCAACCACCTTGACACACAAGTCATCTGTGGGCAATGCTTGTCAAAGAATACATTTAAAACTCCCAAAGCCACCTTGCAAACAAAATATGTTCATAAGATTTCTGTGCCTTAGAATGATTTATTAAGGATTTGGTCAGATGTCTTAGGTCCATACTACACTGAAGTGGTCAGGTATATGGGTAGGTAGAGCTGACAAAGCCAAAATTGTCTTTTGAAAAGGAGGTAAAGCATTGACCAAAAGCTGAACATTAGACAATGGTCATATTTTTTGGGGGTGGGTGGGATCATGAAGTTAGAAAGTTTAGCAGTTAAGAGCACAGCCTCTTAGCTAAGGAGGGAATCCTGGGAAAATTATTTGATCTAGTAAAATATCAGTTTATTCATTTGTTAAAAAAATACAGACATTAAATCTACTTCAAAGAATGGTCAAAATAATGCATTGTATAAAGGCATTCAGCATAGTATCTAACATATAGCAAGTACTCAAAGAATATTATTACTACTGATATATATGAGCAGTCTGGATTTGTCTTTGGATTGTTTTCTGTGTAGTTATTATTCTTTAATACTTAAAAAGAACATTTTAATATATAAAAGACACTGTTCTGCATCCTTCACAATTTTAACTTACTTAATTCATATAACTATCCTATGAGATAAATACTGTTAGCATTCCCATTTTACAGATGAAGAAAATGAAGGACAGAGAAAGTTAGAGTAGCTTTTCCAAGTTAGCAATGAAGCTGGGGTGTGAACCAATCCAGAAAATGTGGCTCCAAACGTCAGCCGTTTTTATTCGATGTTGCTTATATGCCATATGCTAAATTTAAAGTTCTAAATTCCTTTTTTTGCTGAATTTTCTTCTCAATCGCAATATACTGTTTCCTGACCCTCTCATCTCAGCTTACAATCCTCACAGCACCCTGTGCTTCTTTAGAGTGTTATCAGGACTGTAAATGGATAACCATCTCCTTCAATAGAATGTAAACTCAATGAAAGTAGCAATTGTGTCATATTCACTGCTGTGATCCTCAGGAATTTACAAAGTACAGAGTTCAGTAAGTCTCTGTTGAAAGAACATATGTATGTTAACAAGGATTAATGACCAGTTAGCTGCCAGTTAATAAACTGAAAATGGGAATGGAAAGCTTAAAGGAATGAATAATAATTAGAGATTCATATGTGAATAAGAATGTCAAAAGTAAGTTTTGTTAAATCAAAGTTTGCAACGGGCACATTTTTCAGAGGGCTTCAAACTTTGAGTGGTGTTAGGAAAGATAATTCTGAGCTACAATGATCTGGTAAAGAATCATTCCTTCTTATACACATTTACTTACTAAACTTAAGGAGATTCACAATAAATGTAATTTTTTTTTTAAACTGACAGATACAAAACTTTTAGTAGTTTAAAAGCTTACATTGTTTTTGGGTATTAAATCATATTCTATTTCCCTGAGATCTTCATCTATTAGACTTAATTCCAACCGCTGGAACTTCATTTAAAGTCTTTCTTGAATGTGCCAGCTTTTTGAACATTTGAAGACAGTGATCATATCCCCCCTATTTTTGGCATTTACAGATTAAACAGCCCCAAATACTTCAGCTGTTCTCTCTCCCACTTCATATTACAGTTTCCAAGTAGTCAAGGTTTAAACAAACTCTGGCGTAGCAAACAAAACATTCCAGATACACTCTGAGCATAACAAAATTATTTGGTGTGGATAATAATAACTTTCCTATTTTGTTTTGAATTATATATTAATTTGAGAATCTCTAGAACAAAATGACTTATTCTGGTTTTGACAAAAGAAGTTCTTAAAACTGGCTGACTTTCTTTGCCAGCTTATTTAATTATAAAATAATACAAACAGAAGAATGTTTAGATTATATAAGTTACAAATTTAGATTATATAAAATACAAGTATGTATAGATTATGTAACTTAAAAATAGAGACATATTACTTGTCACCCAGGCTGAGAAATGGAAAATTATCAACATCACAGAAGTTTCTCTTGCACCTTGTCTACTTTCTCCTTCTAATCCTTAAAATAATTGTGGTTCACATGTTATGTGTTAATCACTTTGCTGCTTTTCTCTACAATTTTGTCATTTAGGCAAACATCCCTACACAATATGTTGTTTAGTTTTGCTTGGCAATTTCCTACTCATAGTTTCATACTGCCTCAACTCCTTCAACTAAAAATTTGAATCATTCTGTATTTTACAATTTTCAATAAACCATCTCAAGTCTCTCATGGAAAGAAGCAGGAGTAACTAAGAATTACACATTCATTATCAGCAAAAAAAGATAAAGACAGAGGGAAGATTAATACTCTACTCTAAGTCAGTGTGCTCTGCTCCATCAATATGAAACAATACCATCTATCCTCAATAAGAAACTGAGCTTCCATCTTTTCCTAAGTTGGCTATTATACTAGAGCTTTAGAATCTGTCTAAATTCCATGAATTGAGGAACCACATATTTAAAGAGCATAAATAAACATAAATAAATAAGTCATTTATAGGAATTACCCATTTGGATTATTTTGTTTCGACTCATTCATACCTCATCTAAATATAAGTATTGGGGAGTTAAATATATAAACCTGTGTCGGAAAGAAACTGTCAGTACAGAATATCAGACTGAAATAACGGTAAAAACCATTATTACCAGGAGGTTCAGATGAGAGCAAGGCAATGAAATAATTTCCTTATTTAACAATTCAAAGGAAAGTACACCTGACATCATCAATCTACTTTCTGAGGCTTTACAGGATTGATGAAAAAGCCTGCCAATCTCCCTCCCCAATCCTTGTTCACTAATGCAGCAACTCCTTGTTCGTAGTATAAACCATGAAATAAACAAATCATACATGTTAGGAATGTATTAGCCAAAGAGTCTGAGAAATTAAAGAATAAATGGTCACTTTTGATTAAATAAAGTTATAAATTAAATGAAATTATAATGATATTAGCCAGTTAATAACTAAAAGCAGGGGGCATATATTTCCATATGGTCTGTTTAAACACATCATTTTTCCCCTAGATTCTCTGATACAATAAAGAAAACTAATTTCCAAAAGTAATTGTTTCTTAAAATCTTGGTTTTGACAGTTAATTGATAAATTCAGTGAGGAAATTAATAAAAAGATATTACTTCTCCATGTAAATAAAGCAGTTGATCTTTTATTTTTCTATCCAGTTATTCTGCTGTGAGCTAGCCAGACAGATGCTTTAAATTGTATAAAGAAAGGGATATTAAATTGACAAAGCTAATTGTTGCAAAGCAAGTTCTTGGTTTTAAACTATTTGAACTAAAAGACCTATCCTGGTATTTATAAATAAATCTCAAGTTTTATTTCTGGTCCTTCCTAGTAAGATTTCTGACCATATTTCAAACAAAATCAAAACTTTTTGTGATCAGGAGTCCTTAAAATTCAAAAAATAAAATCCTGATATCTTAGAGGTGGAGGCCTTGAGGTCCACAATGAGCAAATGGCTTATTTGCCATTCCAAGGTCAGTGTGTTGCTGGTAAAGACTACAGGTTCTTACACTTACACACGGTTACTCATTATACTACGCAATTACATCTCCCACAGTACTAAGTCCATAACAATTATGGTTTGCTAATGTATGTCTTCATGTATGTCTTAAGGTAAGAATTATGAATAATACCAGACAATGGTCTTTTAGAAAAATACAGTTTCTAGAAAAACATTCTCATGAGCACTGAACCCTCTCAGAGGGCCAAAGACACATAGTTGAGTTAGTGGAATGTTCATCTTACCACTTGATCATATGAAAACAAATAAATGCATAAAATGTTTATGTTGACCCTACTTCTTAAATAAGTATTGATGGATTATAAAGTAAATTATATATGTTTTTTAAACATCAGTTTGAAATAGTATCATCAAAATTAGAGCTGTAATTAAAACTGGAACGAACAATTTTCTAAAAATTATGTTTCTTCTAGTTGCAATGAAGATTTCACCATAATATAATATAACCATTATATGGTACTTAAGTATCTCTTAAAATTATTTCTTAAACTAAAAAAAGCTAAAAAAAAGTACTTCTCTCTTTATTGGCAAATTTTTTTAACTGAAATTTTATTTTTGCATTTTGTCCATCAGTCTGCAAATAATGACTCATAAGAGAAAAAGCATCAATTATTTTTCAAACTTTTCAAAAGAGAATACCTTCATCTTTTCTCTCTCTTCCATTTTACAACATTTTTAAACAAGTTACCCCTGGTAACAGAAAGCAAAACCTAACTTAAATGATGTTAAGGATGTTTTTTATCTTTCATGAGTATTAATGACAAATTGCTCTGTCCACATATGGCCCATCTAAAACTGCCTCTGATTTTACCAATTCCCTGTCTCTGCCCCACCCCCCAAGATTACTGTGGAGACTTCACCAAAGATGCAAGGGTTCTCTTATAAATTGGCTTAAATAACAAATCCTTAACTTACAAAGAATTTTTATTTCAAATGAATATTACCCAACACAGAAACTAATTAACAGGATCATGAACTCTAAAGTAAATCAAACCCAATTTTTCCCTAAGTGATATTTACAAAGCTAAATGCAGAAAGATTACATAGGGGAAATGTCTCAGCAAAATTTACCTTAAAGTCATCAAATGGAGTTCAAACTTACGTTAAATACTCACCACTAATGTTGAATTCAAAATAAGTGAGTTTATTAATAATCTATAGTATTTCCTAATTTCATATTCTACAATACTATTGAAAATAGTTTTAAACTTACCCAAATGAAGTAATGTAAAGTGGGCTGCCAGTTCCTTTGCATCTTCTAATGTCGTGCATAGCTTGTCTGGCATGAAGTAACTCTGGGATCCATTCGCAATAGCAGGAATAACGATTTTATAGACCAAGAGTACTTTCCCATCTTGACTTGTTGTTGAATATAAATAATATTCAGGTGGTGCCCAATTATTTTTGTTGCAGTAATAATCCAAATGCATTACTGCAGAATTGAAATGACTGGATTTTAAAGAATACATACTAATTGGAGTAAGCTTTGTTCCAGGAAAAAATGGGTATGTGCATCTTTCGATTTCAGGGGGACTTGGGCTATGCTGACCATTGAGACGAGCTGGAAGAGTTGGTGCCTTGCCTAGAGTTTTTGGATGGCTCTCTTCTTTGTTAGCAAACACAATCAGGTTTTCAGAATTGGGGCTAATCTGACCATTAAGATGTTGTCGCCAAGTGTTTTCTTTGTTTACTGGTTTTGCCAGTGTTACCTCAATACTTGCTCCATCAATGCATTTTCCATTCATAACAGACATAGCAGCTACTGCATCTTCTCGATTGAAAAAGTGAACAAAAGCATAATCTCTAAGTTTCTTCACTCGTTCAACTGCACCAGGTTTGAATTTATTGAATTCTGCTTTAATTGTTTCCTCTGTAGTGGAGATCATTAAATTTCTGACATAGAGAACTTTAACTCTCTGCATGGTTTCCTCATCAACCTCTTTCTCTGGATCAGCCCAATCTACTTGAATGGTATGACCCCACAGCTGAAATGTTCCTGTAAAAAAAAGAATAATTTCAAGACAATTTTTTTAAAAAGTAAAAAATCTTAAGTAAAACTTTCTCCAAAGAAGCAGAAGCCTCAAATACTTATCAGTATATATAATCATTAGTTTCCTATCATGTGAAAGTTTTAACTAAGGCAAATGTAGCCAAAACTTACAGCAGAATCAATTTTAAAAGTCAAAAGAACAAATGTACTTCAAAATGGACTTTAAATAGAATTAAAATTTTAATTATCCTCTGAACTTATCAGTATAGAGAATGACTCACTTTCTAAGAACTATTTCTTATCTTTTAGATTTTATTCAATCTTTCTTCCTCTTTAAGGGCTTCACATAATATCATAATACTAATCTGCCAGGTCCTGTCATTTTTCCCTATTTATAATATAGTTAATATGGGAAAATAATCTTTAAAAGGACAAATTTACCTGGAATTAGTTTTCTCCTAGCCATAGCAGCAGCTCTGTGAGATTCATATTCAACAAATGCAAACCCACGATTTTTGGTCTTATCGGTTGCACTTGGATAAACAATGACATCTACAACTCCTTCTGTAACTTTCTTCATTTCATCCAAAATTTCCTCTTTCTTCTTTTCCTTAGGAATAGCTCCAATAAATAATCTGCAATTATCCAAGCTTACACACACACCAATAAACTTCCCTGGTCGAATCTCATAATTATTAAGAATTCTGATGGCTAACTGTGCTTCTTCTTTTGTAGTGTACATCACAAAAGCATAACCTCGATTTTCACCGCTAAATTCCATCATAAGTCGAAATTCATATATCTTGCCAGCTCTTTCAAATACAGGAACTAACTCATCTTCATACATATCACGAGGTATTTTTCCTACAAAAACTTCACAGCCTCTTGGTGGAGGTGGACCTTCCCAACCTGAAAGACAAAAATAAATAGTCAGGTAAAGTCTACTAAGTTAGTTATATTCATTACTCAATCATTCATCCATTCCACAAATTTAGTATAAGCCTTCTATGTGTGCCATGCACTCTTCTATGTGTTGGTGATGCAAGAGTGAACAAAATAAAAGCTCCTTCCCTCATGAAGTTATTAGTTAATAAAGCAGACAATGAGATAACTGCTATGAAGAAAAATAAAGGCAGTGAAGGGCTGATATCTTTGGTAGTTACATAAACCTTCTTGAAACACATGAGATTTAAGCAGAGACCTAAATGAAATGAGGGAATGAACCTTGAGGATACAAGAGGAAGAAGAAAAAGCAAAGGCTTTATATGTTGGCACACAACACAGAGACCTATATGGCTACTGTGTAGCTGAGGGAGAAGTAAAGCAGTAGGCATCAACCATTGTCATAACTAGTGGCCAAGATTTTAAGTGTGAAAGTTAACTGAAAGGTTTAAGCAAAGTATTACCCTGGTTAAACATTAAAGATTAAACATTATAATTTTTTAAAAAGATTTATTTTATTTATACAAGAGCCGGGGTACAGTCCAGACGCACGGGACGGTGAGAGGGATTCACCAGAGACAGAGTGGGGAACAGAACTGGCAGACTGACAAAATACACTGCTAAGGGGAGCAGCGGGTGAGACAGGAGAGGTTTGCTCGCCATGTGGGTTGCTCCAAGTTCAGTGGGGATCTAACCGGCACTGCAGAGGCTGTGGACAGCTTCACCGTGCTGCGCTCAACCGCCTGTGCCACCAAGGAGGCCCTTATTAATATTAACCTAATTTTATTAACCTGGTTTTCTAATATAAACACTAGTTACCACTCACAGCTCTTTTCAAATTCCTTTTAAAACAACCTCCACTTTATAGCTAGGGCCATTTTTCCCACTGACCCAACCCCAATTTCTTTCTAAACTCAACTCAACTTCTTTCTGAACTGCCCAGAAATCTGACTGTAAAACTGAGAATACCAGAGGAGGAAGGGGCAGGTGGAGAGCAAAGGGGAAGAGGAGAGGGGGCGCAATGGTGGGTGTGGTGTGGTAATATACATCTGCAGAGATGCGTACCTCTGAATCACACAGTGTTGTAAACCAATGTTAACATAATTTTTTTAAAAAAAAAGGTTAAAAAATGTAAGAAGACATGCATAACATATATAATCTACATCTTTTCCCTCAAGATAAAAATGATTGCAAGGTCTAAAGCAATTACAAGGAATTATTGTTTGGATACTTATGGAGATATAAACCTCATGTAAATGACCACATTAAATGATCCAATTTAATAGAACATAAAACAAATACAGACCTGGAGGAGGACCACCAAATTTCCTTTGTCCATTTTCTTGAACCATGTTGTAACCAGTCTTTTCCATCAACGCAAGTAAAGCAGCTTCATTCTGAGTACCAGTGCGAACTTTACTGCATCCATTTGTTCCATCTATATTTTCTTCGTTCATGGTTGCAGTTCCTAAAATCAAGGTTTTTTTTATTAAAAAAAGTGTTTAATTTTATGACATGAATCATCAGGAATCTATGAAAAGTTTCTTTGGGTTTCAAGATTCTAAAGGAAGTTGTGGTTGTACATTTAGTCATCACTGCAGTTCTATCCCAAAGTTGTTCTCTACAGTGAAATCTAGAAACTTTTATTGTTTATATATAAATTGATATAAGGCACCTTATAAATAATTTTATATATATATAAATTGATATAAGAAACTTATCAATGGGTTGGCAGGAGTTAAGGAAAAGGAGCCAAAATCTATGTTGACCATCACTGTCCATCAAAATGTGCTTGTTAATTTTTTTTTAATAAACCTACTGACCAGCCACTAAGGCTGTCAGAAAAACTGACCCTAATGGTTGATACTGTGATTTATTCTGTTTCTTAATTTTATATTTCTCTCATTAGGTGTTACCATAAGCAAATACAAAAATTAAAACCCACAAGAAAAATGCACTGAGAAAGCTATTTTGGCTTTCAATAGAGCTTTCTCAATTATTAATTTTTCTGATGACAATGAACAGCGCTAGAACCATCCACATGGAACACAACATACACATACAATCATTTTAGTCTTTAAAGCTCCTTCTGCATTATTATGTTGTCCCCAGGGAATAAATCTGAAGAAAAAAGGAAAGTAGCTCATGCCCCCAGTCTCTACCTGCCATCCACCTCACTTCCCTAAACTGAGCAGCCCCTTTACCTTTCTTTACACTGAGATTCACTTATCAAATACCTGAGTGTGTTGAAGTGAGTGTGCTGAAGACAAGATGTTCAGTAAATATCCTGAATTCAACATACCCAAATTTGAATGTCATTTTATCCTCCAAACCTATTCCTTCCTGTTTTACCTTATCTCCAACAATTCATACATTCACCAAAAAAAATGTCATGACAACAAACTTACTCCCTTCTTCAAATCATCACAACCAGAAAGGGGCTGGAACCCAGAGTCCCTCCTTTGATTCAGAATTAATCAAGCACAACCACCTGCATATTTTACCTTCTAAATATATCTTTAAATCAATCTTTTCCTGTTCATCTCCACAGCCTGTTCTCACATAATTATTTCCTAATGAATTAGAGCCAGGTTCCTAACTGTTGTTCAGGTTTAGTCTTGTCTCCTTCAAACAAAATTTCCACAATGCTATGAAGGTGATTTAAAACAGGTATCTTTTTATCTTAAGCTTCCACTAAAAATTAAAACTAAGGGTAAAAAATAAGTTTATCTTTTTAATTTTAGAATCAAAAGGATCCATCTGAAAAATAAGTCTCAAAATATTACCAGATTTTTAAATGTAACTATTTTGAAAGCCAAACAATACCACAAAACTAGGATAGAAAATGACAAATGGGAAAATGTTCTGCAACACTCATGACCACAGGTTAATTTCCTTAAAATAAAAGAGCAACATGGAGTAATAGTTAAGACCCAGGTACCTGAATGACAGCTTAAGTGTGAATCCTGGTTTCTCCTTCCTTACTAGCTGTGACTTTGGGCAAATTACTTAACCATTTTTAGAATCTTCTAAGTTACTGGCCTTACATATTTATCAAATGGCAGAATTAGGAAGCAAGAAAGAAGTCCCAGCCAGGTAAAAGTCTTTAGTTTGTATTATCAGCTGTGAACCTTCCACTAGACTTCAGGAACAATTTTATTAATGTAACAGCTAATTCCATCATGTATTTTAAGTAAATACATAAGACAAAACAATATAGTTTAATAGGTTTTGATAAAATGGTATAATTACTCATTGACAATCATAACCACTATGAGAAAAAGATTAGTGAAAACTTTCAGACTGTCATTCCAAAAAATGCAGTTTCCCTATTATTCCTTTAAAATTAGAAGCATTTGAAATAATGTAACAACTTTTCTCCAGGTTTTTACTGATATACCATCACTGAGGATTTTGTAGTAAGAAATTATGAAAACTGCAAGTGAACCTTTAGACCACCTCCAATTTTACATAGGAAAACCAAAGACAAATAAGGTAAAAGGACTTGCTTAAGGTCACAAATTTAATCACTGAAAAAACGGGGGCTCAAACCCACAGATAGCTAAAAACTCTTCTTCATAATTAGCCCATAATTAGACCCAAGATGGCCTGAACCTCACACAGACACGTCAGGCCCATTACACTCAAAACATCACGTAGGTAAAATGTGAAGAGAAGTAATGAGTGAGATTTCTATTTTTCAAACATGCTGCAGGAATAAGAATGAGGAAAATATAAGACTCTAGTCTAATGAGCAACCATGTATTTGCTATTTACTGCCTATGAAAGCAATGAACAGCTTCTGCTTCCATGAAATCCAAAATGTAGAATATAATAAAAAGGAGCTTTTATTCTATTATTTCTTATTTATTAGTTATTATTTCTTGCTGATTGCTTATAGCATAATAGCTAGCTCTACATGGCTCATTTCTGCAATCCAACCCATTCCTGCAATTGTATTTTCAAAGACATCATATAGAATCTCAGAGTAACATCAACCAATCTCCACATCAGAGTCTTATGACCAGAGACTGACTAAGAAACATATGCTAGACTTAGTACATTTTAAGAAATCTCAATCAAAATATTATAAAAACTTGAAACTACAGAAATATAAGACATACTGCACAGTCACCCAATGTCATCTGCTCTTTAGAAGGGAATGCGTTCTCAAAGACTCCAAAATAAAAGTAACATATACACATATCTAATTCACAATTAATGAAGTTTAAAAATATATATATCTTTTTCTTAATTTAACCAAGACACATTTCTGAAAAAGCCAGAATTCAAGAACTTCAACCAGAGATTTGTAAGTCACATATAAAGCAAAACATTCATTCTAAAATGTTTCAAAATCAATCTGAAAATCAGCACAATTCCAAGGAAGTATAGCATACTCATGATGAAAAAGCCGACATACCAACTGAGGCTTCCAGCCAAGTTAGTTTCTGTCACTCTCAGTTGCGCATTCATATGCCCAAGTGTTTTACAAACCTTATTCCTTACCCTGCTGACCCAAGGAATCCATGCAAGGGGATGAGGGTGTTGGGCAAGAGAAGGACATAATTTATCCAAAAAAAGAAAAAACTAAGAGTTGTCGTACCATACATAAGCTCTAGCTTGCATAAATCTTTTTATCCTACACTTTGGCCTTTCAAAGATTTCATTCCAGTGCAGTTTTAAAAGACAGCATAGCCAATCACAGGATATTCAAATAGCAATGTTTGAATCAGACCTTTAGCTTTAAATGCTAGCTATATCTTCATCAATTTTAAGCATCAGAATCTAACAAAACAGCGCCTCTCTAGTGGCCTATTGTCTAAGTGCCATCGCCGAGATGGCAGGCTGGCCTGAGTCTGATCCCCTGCCAGGGAACTAACCCAAATGTGGTGCAGCAGACCTCTCCTGTCTCACCCGCTGTTACCCTCAGCAGTATATTTCGGTGTATCTGCCTGTTCTGCTCCCCACTCTCTCTCTGGTGCATGCTGTCACACACCCTTCCTGTCCCACCCACCCCCCACCTCTGGCCTACACCCCAGTTCTTCTACACAAAAATAAGTAAAATCTTTCTTTAAAAATCTAACAAATAATTATACAATACAGAATTTCAAATCTGTATTGCCTTTCATAATAGAAAATATTAATAAGAAAACAAGCTAATTTTAGCCAACTATAAGTGAAAATTAAATCATCTATCTAAAGGAATTTGTGTCATCTATATTCAAACTACTTAAATTGACTGGATGTTCTGAATTACAGCAGATCCTTGAATAATGTCACTCCATTCAACTGTTTCATTATAACAAAGATGAGAAAAAGAAATACCGCTTCAATATCAGAGGAAATGCTTTCCTTATTGTTTCACTAAAAGTCAGTTTCCAAGAGCTTACATTAAATGAGGGCTAATTATACTGTAAAATTATGAAGTTGTGAAAAACATTTTATAAACTTTAAGATGATTTTTAAAAACTAAATATTTGAAAAAAAAAAACTCTAAGGCATCAAACTACTCTTAGGGAAAGCATAGTAGATTATGGAATTCCTTAACTTACAGGTCTTATATTCTTCATTTGTTCATGCAGTTGTTATTTTGAGTATGGTACACTGAGGCCATAGTTGCCAGATCAATGGAGTTTTCGTAGTGGCAACTCATTTTATGACAAACTTCATTATACCAACTTGGATGGAAAATGAAAAGGACTGATCCATAGTTCATGAATATGTAAGTTTAAAATTATTTCAAAATGAAGATATAGATGAATCAGTGCAATTCCATTTTTCATTACTTTTATTAAAGAAGGAGAGCACAATTTTATTTCCAATAGTTAAATATACGACTACAGTTTTATTAGTAGATGTTCCACAACCTGCAGATATACTGTGGAGGGCAGGTTTAAATCTAGAAAGACTTAAACTCAAAAGTATAATAGTCTCCTTGAACTTAAGTTATCCACAATAGAACCAAAATTCTTGCACAACTACTCCTTACATAGGGCTCCTGTAATCTGTCATTTGAAATCTATTACAATTTGGTCATAGAAAATCAGTATCTCCTTCTCTCACTTTCATGCTTTCCCTTTCCCAGCCATCAAGAAGTAAAATAAATGGGGTCAAAATAAGGGGGTTGCAATTGTATGGGGAATATAAAAATAAAATTTAAAAAATAAATAAAGGGCCTCCCCGGAGGCGCAGCGGTTGAGCGAAGCCGCCCACAGTTTCTGCAGTGCCGGTTCGATCCCAGGCCACCGGCGAGGGTCCCACATGGCGTGCAGACCTCTCCTGCCACGCCCACTGCTCCCCTCAGCAGTGTACTTCGTCAGTCTGCCTGTTCTGCTCCCTGCTCTGGTGAATTCTCTCGCTCTCCCGCGCTTCTGACTGTACCTAGTGCTTTTATAAATAAATCTTTAAAAAAAAAAGGTAAAAATAAATATAAATAAATAATAAATAAATAAAAGCCAGAGTCAAAAAAAAAAAGTTTAAAAAAAAATGGGAAACACCCAGCAATAATATGCAAATCCGGACCAATTATTTAATGTCCGTTCACAAAACCCCCTTAAACATGTCTAATACTTCTAGCAAAAATGACACCAGTAAATTGGGTATATTCTTGTTATTAATAATTCTTCATACTATTCAATAATACATTCATATTTCAAGTGCCGATATGTATTATATTCTTTAGCAATAACATTCAAGCTCGATACTCTCCCCGCGTATGTGAAAACCAGGCATCCGAGCAGCGCCCTAAGCATTCCCTACCCAGGGCATTCCCTACCAATAATCAGCAGCGACAGCACTACAGTCACCTCTACCCCGACGGAGCGTTGCAAGCAGCAAGCTAACTTCTGAAAAGAAACTTTGCAAGGGGAACCCTGGAAACAAGTCCATCAGCACCTTAAACAAGCCCAGAAGCACCACAAGCACGTTCAACTCCACGACACGCTGCAGGAATCCTTGAAACGAAACCACCTAACCCTTACCTAAACTAAGCAAGGCCGCTTATTTAGACAAAAGAACCTGTGGTCTGTCTGTCAGCCGCTGACACACCCAAGCAGACCCAGCCTCTTGGCTCTAATGCCATCGGCCAACACCGAGGGCGACAGACGAGTCAGAGAAGCCACGTCTGTCCCAGCTTCTGCAGCCAGGCCTCGGGGAGTCACCTGCATTAGGATCCCCATAAAACACGAAGCCCAGAGCCCGACTCGGGCAAGCAGAGGGAGGACCCAAAGAAACATCCCCACGCACTAAGTTAACGTCATATACGAAGAAAGGGCGGCCACACACATCCAGGGACTTCGACGACCACCTCAGAGTTACTATCAAGGCCGGGGCAAGCTGCCAGGTACCCTGATTCCAGGCTCAGGGGGTCCTCGGCCACCGCCCCCAAGTAAAGCGCTGAAGTTCGTAACCAGGACGACCCGACGGCAGGACACCGAGCCGGCCCCGGGACTCGCACCAGCGCCCGCAGCTGCCCGCCGCCCATCGGGTCGTGCTCCCCGCGCACCCCCAGTCTCCCACCCCTCGCACCCCCACACGCGAGGGAGGACTTGGGTAGAAACAAGCGTCCAGGGCAGGCTCTAGTTCGAGGTTCGGCCCCCTCAGAACTCCAACGAAACACCGCGACGTGCCCGCTCAGCCTCACCCTGCAGCCGGGGTGCCCGGGGCGTCGCCCCAAGGCCTCTAGACGGGACGCGCGGCGCCCACAACGGCCGAGGCCCCGCGGCAGGGCGGCCGGCGCGGGCGGAGCGAGGAACATGGAGGGCGGCAGGTGGCAGGGCCGGAAGGCGGCGGGGGGCGGAAATCAGGCGGGGGGAGGGCAGGCGCCGCGGGGCGGAAGCGGCCGCCCAGAGCCCCGACGGGGAGGTGTGGGGGGCGGCCGGCCGCGCGGCGCGAGGGGCTGGACGGCGGGGCTGTCCCCCGAAAGATGGCCCCGGGCCCGCGGAGCAGCACCCCGGACACCTGCGCTCCCCGCTCGACGGGCGCGGGCGGCGACCCCGCGGAGGACGAGCCCCCCAGACGGCGCCCCCGCGGGCCGTGGGTGCCCGCCGCGCCCGGGAGGCCGGGTCTCCAGCCGTTACCAGCGAGTCGGCAGTGGCCCCTCGGCCCCCATCCTCTCCTCACCCCTTCGGGTCTTCAAATGTTGGCCCTAAATCCCTGGGACCAACGACCACAAACCGCCGCCACCGTTTCGGGGCCCAGTCAGTCTGAGCGGGGGTCGCCGCGGGGGGAGGGGCGCCACCCGGACGAGCTCGCGCTGTCCTCGCGCCTGGGCTCCGCTCCCAGCGGGCGCCGCGCGGTGGCCTCGCAGCCCCACGCGGGCCGGCCTCTCGGCCAATCGGTGAGCAGCCCAGGGGCGGGGCGAGCGGAGGGTGGGCGGGCTAAGGTTTAAATCCAAAGGAGCTGCTTGGCAGGGCTGCAGAAGTGCTTGGAGTGGCAGGCACGTCGGCCAATGGGGGCGAGGAGAAAGTTGTGGGTTACTAATCGTGGAGTGACGCCGAAAGAAGGTCCCTGGCGGTTTGGGTGAGACATTTGAGGACGGGGCACTGGTGTGGTCGTCCGTGCTTCTCTTAGCGGAGACGAGAGGTAGTCCTTGCGAAGGTTTGTGTTCTGGCTGTTAAGGTTCTTATTTGGAGTTGACGAGGGTTTTAAGTCTTAAATCTACTAGTTCAGGGACTTCCCTGGGGGCACAAGGGGTTCAGAGACAACCTGTGAAGCTGTCTGCAGCCTCTGCAGCACGAGTTCGATCCTCGGCAGGCCAGGGAGCTACCCACATGGCGCAGCAGACCTCTCCTGACTGCCCCCTACTTCCCCTCAGCAGTGTTTATTTCAGTTGATCCGCCTTTTCTGTTCCCCACGCTGTCTCTGGTGAATCCTCTCATCGCCCACACCTCTGGCCTGTACCCCAGTTCTTGTATGCATAAATAAATAAATCTTTTAAAAAAAAAGAATTCTGCTAGTTCAGCCCCAACAACTGTGCATACTGTGGACCTTTAAAAATAAGGGCTGGGATGGGGAGAGGCATACCACTACAAGATTTGCGAATAGGACGAGACTTATAAAAGTTATGTTGTTTACCTAGAAATCTACCGAGAATTGAGGTTACCAGAAGGGAACAGTGGCGAGCAGAGTGGGGCGAGCAGAGTGGGTGGTGCACGGCGGACGGTGGTGCAGAGGTGTGGGTGTTGATGGTGGGTGTGAGGTGGCAAAATGAGCCTGAAAATGGAGTGCTTCTGTCCTCTTTGATTCTAGACAGCAATGTAAGCCAGTTTGCCTAAATAAAATGAATAAAACTTACATTAAAAAAAAAAAAAGTTCCATGGTTTAGCTGCCTTCGAAATTGGGCACAATCAAGAGACCTAGTAATAGACTTAACTCTACCATTAATCAGTTTGAGTTTAAGTTTGGCGGTAGCAGAGCTGAAGAACCGGGTTTTGTGCTGATGTAAAACCAAGTTTCACCAGTATGATTGTGTGCATTGTGCACATTAACAAGTCAAGTGTTCGTGTGTGCATTTTAACATACTACGACACTGAGGAATTAGCAAGGACTGGAGTCTGACACTATTTTTGATCTGGGCTCAGATCAAAAATCTCATGTATCCATTTTGTGTTTGTGGCACCTTTAGCAAATTAACTTCCCTTGAGATCCAGTTAAGTAGGCATTGTGAGGATTAAATGATAACTAATGTTAACAAATGTCAAACACTTAATATGTGCCGGAAACCGCTCCTAAGAATTTTCGAATATTTGTTCATTTGCTTCTTCCAGTAACTTTTGCAAAAATAGTATCCCCATGTTGATCCGGATTACAGCTCCCAGACTTGCAGAATTTAAGGAGTTGGCTCAAGGTCAGAGAGGCAGCAAATAGCTCCACATTGGCTCCCAACTTGCAGACATAACCACCCTGCTATGCTGTCTCAAACTGAGTTCAGAAACAAGTGATATAATAAGTAAGAAACACTGGAAGCTCAACAAATTTTCTTTCTCTAAACTCTTTGCTCTTCAGTCAGTGAGATGAGTCTTATTTAGATTGTGTGTACTCAAAGCAACTACAAAACCTAGACTGATAGAATATACCTACTTGATTTTTTTTTTAAAGATTTATTTATTTATTTACTTATGCAAGCACTGGGTACAGTCAGAAGCGCGGGAGGGTTAGAGAATTCACCAGAGCCAGAGCAGGGAGCAGAGCAGGCAGAGGGACCGAAGTACACTGCTGAGGGGAGCAGCGGCATCACGGAGGCCGCGGGCAGCTTCCCAACCCAGCGCTCAACCACTGCGCCACCGGGGAGGCCCCCTACTTGATTTTTTTTTTAAACATTTCAGTTCTCTCCCTCAACAACTGCAATGGTTGTCTTTGTCCTATCATATTTGATTTTTATGACTACTCTTATCTCTAGAGAAGGTTCTCCACATTCATCATCTTCATTTTAGTGCCTTCTCAGTTTCCAGTAATTAATTTTAAATGCACTTTTTAAAGTTAAATTAGCCAAAAATGTGTTAGACATATTAGTCTAAAAAGTTTAAACAAGTAAACAAAGTTTTAGGAGTTGCTGCAGAATCCTTAAAATGTCACTAGGTGGAGATCCTCTCTTGTGAGGGGCAAAAGAAAGTTCTTGGAAATGACCTAAGTTTGGCTTTATATTTCTAGTTTTCTTTTTTCCTCCCTAGTATAAGGAGAACCAGATAAAGATTTGTCAATAGGTACACCAGAACCTTGTTTTAGATAAAAGAATGTTGTTTAAAGACTCTTCAGTATATGCATTGTATGTCCTTTTGGTCAGATTGATGCTAAATCTTTTTGTTATCCAGTCTATTAATAGGGTGTTCAAATATCATAAGAGCTGTATTCTCTGAATATAAAATTAAATGAATGGCTCTATTTCTCAAGACTACTGGAAAAGAGGATATAAACCATTATTACCAACTAGAATTATTTTTGCAGATCCCAAATTTAAGTTTGTTAGAAGTTTATTTCAAGTTTATGGGAAAAGGTGATCCAAATGAATTGAAAGAAAAAGATAAACTATGAAGAGGTGTTTTTGACTGAAAAGAAGGCAAAAGATAAGGGAGAAAATAAAAAATCTGTAAGCACCAGAATAAAACTTAGAAGCCATATACAAAATAGAAATGGTTAAAGTAATCTAGATATAATGCAAATTTTTTTTTCCTGTATGAAATGCAGGCTTTTGGATTTAACTTATCTTTAGATACCTTCTATAAAAGACAAACCCACAAAAGAAAAGCAATGACAAGTCCTTATAAATGTTTATAATCTCTTTTAGTCTTAACAAAAGTAATGAATGCTGAGTGGTTTCATACCAAAGAGCCTCCCGCAGTGGCCTGCTTTGTTTTCCGTGTTGGAGCTTTCTCTCTCCAGGTCTGGCAGTGACCTCATAGAACCACCAAAAACTGGGCATTTGCTTACAGGTTATAGAATTCATGATCTACAGGGCATAGCCTAGAGTTAGGGACCCTCTTTTCAACTGCTGACTCTCTAATCTAAACCTCAAAAACTTTTCAAATTGCCTCCCAAAATCTCCATTTTCACATCAATTACGTTTATAAGGAAATACTTCTACATCGGTAGAACTTATGTGCTTTATGCGTCATCTCCTTATCCAATACATTCTCTTCATTTTTTCAGAATGAGCCCTCTAAGATGATAGAGATAAGATGATAGAGATATGTTACTCTCCCATTTCAACTAAAATTGATAGTCATCTTCAAAAGAGAATCAATTCTAAGTAACTCCTTGAGAGTAGATTCCCAAGCGCTAGAGAACACAGTTGTACAACTTGGCAACAATCACTTGACCCAAGGATGTCATTTGATTGGAAGGTACTTGGCCTAAAGGATTTGAGAGGGGCCACGCGGTAGCCTGGCTAGAGAGTTGTGTTCACACTGTCCACCAATATTGCATAACTCATCAGCCTAAGTAGTTCCTCTGGCCATTTTAATTGGAGACCCAGTAGAGGGGAGCAGATGTCAAAGAATTACAAAGATGTAAGGAGAGCCGCGCCCAGCAGAAGCAATGACACTGAGGGTTAGTAGCAAAGGGTACGCAGCCCTAAGTGTAGAATTATCCGAGGTAGAATCTAGAGTCAGGAAGAGGTTTGCTTTGGGTTATTTTGGAGGGAACATAAAATCTGTGTGAGCTGAAGGGGGGGAAATGACTCTGTACTTGTCACTTCTCCACATGCTCTTAAATAAACTTCCATCCACAAAACGTGTGTTTCTTTCTGTCATAGCCCGATTCCACCCCTGTTCATTTGTTGTACCAGACTGCATACTCCTAAGCCTCACCAGAGCCACCTGGAATGTAGGAGATGCTTTCTTGCCACTGCTGGCATGTACCGTGTGACGTCCACCACTGTCTTGCCTCTTGTCTGCAGCATCACGTGAGTCACAGTTGTTCTTCCTCAAAGAAATGGTGAGTGCTTTGTGAGAGTACCGAGCACCTTTCTCTCCAAGCACCAACTTGAGCACAGGTAATTGTTCTTAATTGCCAGCAGTGATCCAGCTGAGCTATGGTTCTCATGACACTGTACCTTTCTGCTTACAATCTCCAGGTGCCTGCAAAGGCCTGCTAAGAGAGGTCTCCTTCACTTTAAATATTTGCATATTCACAACTCAATTAGGTATGGAGAAAACATCCTGACATCCCTCTCCTTTACTGTCTCCTAGCAGGCAGGCATGGGGCCTGTGTCTGTGCTCCTGACACCCGGTACAAACATCACTTGTTCAAAATCTCTCTGCCAGCCATTCTTTCTCATTCGACTAACTACAGAACTAAGATTCTACCTAGTTCATTCTGTGAGAACCTGCTTGCAATACACAGATGTTCAAGACATTAATACAGTCATTGGAAGAAAGCTTGTCCAAGTCATGGGGGACCTTTGGGAGCCGGTGTGATATAATGGAAAGTTGCAGTTAAGATCTTGATCTGGTTCTGATTATTGGCGGAATCACAAAGTATCTCAGCTTCTTTGCCACATTAGAAATGGCGTCAAATGTTGAGGGGTTCAACCCAGTAACCTCTATAACCCTGTGCATTGCGTGGCTGCATTTCAAGACTGGGGCTGAGAGATGTTCCTACTCATGTCTTATCCCCATTCAACCCACTGCCAAAGTAAAGGTACAGGCTGCCCTGGGTTACACAACTGGTTATGGAGTTCATCCCCATTGCTCTAATTATTGCTTTATTTGTTCTTTTACATTACAGAGAATCCTTTCTCCATCAACATGGTAGGCTTCAAGATGTAGATAACATAGATCCTATCAGTCTGAAGGCAGATCCACATAAAGGTTTAATTTCAAATACATAAAATTATGTTCAGTAAAAGAAGCTTTCAGAGGCAGAATTATTTAGTCTACCATGCTCAGAAAAAATGTTTCATGATCTACTGTTGTGGATGTCGAATTAAAAGACAAGAGAGATCTGTATCTGAAATTGATTTTATTTAAATGCATAAATAACAAAAAATTAGTTAAGCTGACAGATCTAGGTTGGTAAAACTCTAAATAGATTATATAAAACAGAAGACTCACAACCATCATTTTGTCTATGCACCTCACTTTTGCCATTGACATAAGTTTGCTATTCCTGTAAAGCATTTTTGATATTTGGCAGTAATAGTGAAAGAGAAAATAGAAGAATAATACATCTATATTATGAAAGAAAATCATTTCCAAGTAACAAATTCATACTTATTTTCTTGATATAGTGGAAAGTTGAAGTTAAATTCTCGGTCTCGTTCTGATTATTGGTGGAATCACAAAGTATCTCAGCTTCTGTGCCACATTAGAAATGGCATCAGATGTTGAGGGGTTTATTTTTTAGGAACCCACTTTCTGTTAGGAAAGGAAGTGATACTCCTGGTTATACCCCACCAGAAGTGACTCTTGAGTCACATATAAGGATCTGGCTAAAGTCTGTTGATACGTCCTTGACATGTTATTCATGTCACTCACAATAACAGGCCCCTATTTAAAGGATTGAAGTCAACGACCAGTTTCCTTATACAACCCTTTGTCTTATTTTGTCCTATTTTAACCACCATCCTTCTTCCATGCTTTTGAAGTTACCTCTCTGAACCCCAAATCTCCACTGCCTATTCATAAGTCTGAACTTCTTTGTCTAAATAAGACTTGCACCACCTGATTGTTGCTTGCTCTTCCAGCATCTGTCCCTCTCATCCTTGCTCTGCTCTCCTCTAACCTCTCAACCACTTACAGTTGCTTAAGTCAGTCCACAAGTAGTGCAGTGCCTCATCCAAATGCCGGTTATGTTGGGGTAGTTTTCATACATCTGCTCACACTGTTCCCAATGTATAGAATGTCCTATCCAAAATCTAGCTCCCTGATAACACCCCGTATTTCTAAGTCTCATTACATGACCCCCCTAATGTTGGCCCTATCAGTTAAAACCAACCACTTCTTTTTCTGTGCCTTCAATCATCCGTAACATCTGTGTAGAACCTGACACTTGCATTATTTCATGTTATTTCCAACAGTCAATCCCATTTGTTCTCATTTAGGTCATTTTTAAGAACAAGATAAGCAGCAAAATGCTGCCTCAGACACTACTTGATTGTCAGTTTACAAGTTAAAGTCAAAATTCAGAATGTAAAGGACTTGCAGAATCATAAGCATGAATCTCAACTAATGCATTAGTGCCACATTAATGGTGCAGGGTTTTTCCATAACCACCGTTAGGAATATAAGGGCCCTTTTCTACCTAGTTAAGGTGCTCTACCTGAGCACAACAAAACAAAAACTCTCCTCCTCTTCTAAGAAGTTTGACAAATTCTAATGTGGAACATTTAATAAATCCTTCTTCTGATTCCCTCTTCCTCCTAGTGGAACTCATCAGTGTGATAAGATCACTTCCTGCTACTTCTCAGTTAATGCTAGCATTGTGTCCTTGAGATCGATTTCTCTGGCCTTTTAGCAAGATTTAATTTCTTCTTCCCTTGTGATCCCATGGCACTGTATATACTCCAATATCAATACTTAAGAGATTATATTAATTCGAGAACATGAAATTATAACAGGTCAGTGCCTGGCATATAATAAGCACTCAAATGGTGAATTGAATCTTGTTTTAATGATAGGAGGTGAGTCAAGACTAATTATGTGAATTCCAACCTAAGTACTTCCTTGGCATTTAATGGGGGATCATTATCTTTGAACACAGATTTAACATCAGACAGTGGTTTTTGCTCCCTGCAATACTAAAGCCTGCAAAAAAGATGTTAATTATTTATGAGGACACCATAATTTAAAAAATGAATTTATTTAAACAATTGCTACAAGGGTAATACACAGTAAGGGGAAAAACCACTAATACAATGGGGTTCTCTTGGGTGCTCTTATGTATACAGACTTAGAGTAATGTGTAGTGGTTGAATAGGCCCATAGAACACCTATATTTTATGGGGTTACCACTTCAGGTTGTAATTATTTAAAACATTTGAGTAAATACAAAGCTTAAATTACTAAATTCCAACAGAACTTATAGGTAAATTAGAGGTGATAAAACATTGGTTACACTAAAATCTGCTCCTAACATTTTTCTAATTGGATCTGAGTGCCTAACCCCACCCCTCCTCATACCACTCATGTGATATATTATTTTGTGGTTCTTGATAAGCTTAAAAAGTAATTTTAATACCTGAAATTCAAGTCTAGCTTGTGGTTTGATTTTCAGAATTTGGTCATTTTGCAAAAGTACCAAAATGCTTGCTTCACACCATTCCATGTCAATTCTGGAATTGTAACAGCCTGGGGACTGCATCTACCTGTCAGTACTAAGACACTTACAAATGATTTCTAACAATTATCTTTGGGGTTTGTTTGGGGTTATATACGGTGGTGATGGCCCCCTTTAAGGATGAAGATTATATTTACTGAGCAATGAAATGGAGGAAATAAATCTGAGAACTTTCAAAAAGTATACATTAGTAAGTGCTTTAAAGAAAAACCATCCAGTGACTATATGCAGGTTACTCCACAGGTGCAAGGGTGTAAAGAAAGTGGATTGAACCTGCTATTACATTCACCTCTACAAATGCTCTATTAAAACACACTGGCATGGTAAATAATAATCCAATCAGGAACAAATCAGTCAATGTGTATATGGATATACATAAATTTAACTGCACATACACACTCCAGGTTCCCTCACTTACTTTAACCCTGTATTCACTTGCCTCCCAGAATCGTTTAAAGTAACCACATAAAAGGGAGAAAAAAATGATTGCCAGGCTTCCTAATAAGTAAAACCCAAACAAATTGTTCAACTGATACTAAAATAGCTATTTCTATAGGAAGACACAGATTTCTATTGTTCTGGTCAGGTATCAAACCTTAATCTTTGTCAGTATGGTTTCAAATAATGAAAATAATTCTGTTATCAAGAATTATGTATAAATCATTAAAAAAAAACAGTTTGTGGATTTTTGGGGGCCAATCACGAAACATGTTTTTGTCTGAAAGAGGGAAATTCTTTCAGTATAAGTTTTTCAATGGAACAGGATACATTGACAATAAAATTTGTGATCTCATTTGCTAAGTGTCCAAAATTCAAATTCAGGCCCAAAGAAAAGAAGCAATTACAGGAGAAAGAATAACACACACACCCTTCCATGGGCATCTTCCTAGGGACTGGTTTTGTGTAATGATGAGGCATTACAAGTTATCCTGTTCCCAAGATTTTCACACTGCTTTCAAATAGAACTGCCTGAGAAGATTCAGAATGCCTTGCTCTTGGGCTTACATAAGTACTTTGCGTGATTCTTAATCACATTTTATCTAGAACACAGTGTAACAGGTCATATTTTTCTCAACAATGCTTATACTGATTTGTGCACTATAAATATAAACATATATACACAGAGAATCCACACACTGACACAGGGATATGAAGTTACCCAACCATCCATAAGCAGAATGGAATAAAAATCGCAGGAAGTGTAGTATATGATGCCAGGCCCAGACAGACTATAGACGCCAATCCCAAGACTGCGGAAGCAAGAACACTTCTCTGATCACGAATAATTATCTTCACATTCTCACAAAACTGTAAAATAAAATTTAAGAATGTTAGAAAGCATAGATAAACCTAAGAAGAGTCACCTATACCAAACAGCAAAGCACCATTTTCCTAGTTATCTTCCATCTTCAGAAGAACTAGAAGATGCTAAGATGCTTCTTGAAGATGCTAATAGTTCATTTCTTGATTCCTCATCCAATAGTGGCAAAGATGACACTTTAAGCAACTGAGTTAATAACAGCAGTTATCTTTGTGATACAGAACATTTCAGAGAAAAATCACAGAGAATTGCAACCTCATAAAAATCATCTAGGATTAAAGGTCAAGAACAGTGTTAAACTCCCTACCGATAACAATAACATATTCTAAAATTAGATGAAAAAAGACCTCTCTGATCTTGGGCAAACAGAATTTAGTGCTTATTATTGGTGAATTCAGTGCCTACAATTCACCATTATAAAGTTTGCCAATGATAACTTCTCTTAAGAGTCAAAATCTAGGGCTTCCCTGGTGGCACACAGGTTAAAGTCTTGGCACTTAACAAGCTATCCTCAGCCACTGGGACATCATGAGTTCAATCCCGTCCCTGACCAGGGAGCTAACAGACAGGTTTGGCCTTTTGGATATGTGCTTTTTTCTTAGAAAACTAATTTTACTCAAAAGCAATCATTTATGTTTGAATCCTGGATCCATCTTTTATTAGTTAGGTGACCCACAAGTATATCATTTAACTTCTGCAGACCACCTACTTCTCTTCCATGGGAATCCTCAGCTTGTAAGCATTAATGAGGTCTTTCATGCAAAAGTACTCTGTTTTCTTCTACATACTGTATAAATGGAAGGTATTACGATGATTATTATTACTGCTACATCTGCCTACAATTTTCTCTACCTCAGCTTGGTCAGGATTAGAATGAGCAATTAACTACTCCATTTTTCATGAGTTTTATTACACATATTAGTTTCAACTTCCTTTTCTGGATATAACACTATATATATATATATATATATATATATATATATATATATATATATATGCTTTTTGGGACCTCCTCACAGGGCTTATATAGTTCTGGACAACTAGATCTCTAAATTCTGAATGGATAGAGTATACAAGGGCAGTTTTTTTTTTTTTTTTTTAACAAGGGCAGTGTATTTTAAGACACCATCTTGGCTATAAGATTATTTCTATCCACACTTTCATATAATATCTAAGCAATTATGAATCTCCAGATGTTGGTATTTTTTTATGTCAAACATGATTTGTGTCTTTTTACTAAACTGGTAAGACACTGAGTAGCAAACACACAATCTTAATGTGGTAAGAGATCAAACTGAGACATTTTCAGGCCAATGAAATAAGTGGCTTGACCATAACAGAAATCATAATAATACACATGTATTATGTTTAATTACTGTGCTGCATAGCATCTCTTGTGAAACTGAGTTTTTGTCTTCTCATTGAATACACATACACATAACAGACACATAATAATACACAAACACATAACAGACACATAACAATACACGTAACATAATACACATGTAGGTAAATGAGTTAAGTTGTCTTGATATAGTTCTGCTGCTTTTTCCCCCAGTAATTTTCAAATAAGGCAAACAGAGAATCATTGTGGATCTCCCTCCGCACACACCCCTACCCCTACCCCCCAAACACCACACACACTCCAAGCAGATTTTCTCAGGCAGCTCCTTGTCTAATGTCCTGTTCTTCTCCACTTGCCCTTCAGGGCAGGAGGCATCTCAGGAGATGTTCAACAGTAGGAAAATGTCCTGCATTTCCAGAAAAAAAGTGTTAAAAAAAGCCGGTTAGGTAACTGTTTGAATACTGGAATCCCAGAAATTAAAAGGGGCATTTCATTAATTTTTGGCAAAGAAAAACATTATCAACAAAATAAAAAAACAAAACAGACCATAGAAGAAAAAGCATAAGAACTAGTAATAGCTACTAATTAAATGGACTTACAGTTTATAGAACACTGCAACTGTTATTCACAATATAAAAATCCTTTCATCTATGATTTCTAAATTTGTAAGAAAAAAAAAAAGAGCCTCACAACACAGAAGTAAAAGATTCTCTTCCAATTCCTTTTCAAATTAGCTGTAGAGTTTTCATGAGGGAATGTGTTTCATGAATGAGGGAGAGTTTTTGTAAACTAAAATTTGAGTATGAGGCAACTTTGCATCTCTCACGTTAGGCTGATAATAAATAGTTGCATGTATGAAGAATGTAACAATCACACCCAGAATCTGGGAATTCCTTACATTCCTAAAAAAAGTGGAAGCTAGTTGTCCTTCACCATTAGTGACCTACTTTTCTCAGAGCCAGTTCAAAAAACAGTTCTTCGAAAATTAGGGAGGACATCTCCCCCTCCTGCCCCCAGAAATCTACTCTGTGGCCAAATTGCTAGACCATTCATTGAAAAGACAAAAACTCAGTTTCACAAGAGATGCTATGCAGCACAGCAATTAAAAAACACTTCTCTACTTCTTTATAACCTTACAATGTTTCCAAAGATGAAAAGCTGGGCCTCCCTGGTGGCGCAGCAGGTTGAGCGCAGTGCTGTGAGGCTGTCCACAGCCTCCGCAGCATGGGTTCGTTTCCTAGCCCCAGCCAGGGAGATTTCCCACATGGCACGACAGACCTCTCCTGTCTCGCCCGCTGCTCCCCTCAGCAGTGTCTTTGGTCCATCTGCCTGTTCTGCTCCCCACTCTGTCTCTGGTGAATTATCTCACCCTCCTGTGCCTCTGACTGTACCCCAGTTCTTGTATAAATAAATAAATGTTTAAAAAAACAAAACAAAACAAAAAGATGAAAAGCTACTCCATCTAGATATTTACGCAGATTAGTTTACTACCTTGTGCTATCTTCTGGTAGAAATATATAACACAGTGCTATGTTTTCTGTGAAAGGGTCCTAAGTACTTGATAGAAATACTGTTTTTCCTTAGAGAAATGATTTACTGATTCCTAAGTGAAGCTGACATGTTTCCTTTCATACATTTTTGGAGCCAGTGTTGTAAATGTGATGAGGTTCCTTTCTAAACAGGCCTTGGATACAGCTACGATTCTTGAATCACGGCAAGTGCTCTATTTTTTTTTTTAAACTTAGGGAAGAATTCCTAGGTTTGGTCTGTTTGTGGCTCTACCTACAAGGAGTTGCATAATGTGAAAGCACACTTTCATGCTCTGCCACAGAGGAGCAAGATTGTTCCACATGGGCCCCAAATTAATCAAGATGTGGAGCAATAAAAATGGTTACATGGGGGCCTCCCCAGCGGTGCAGCAGGCTGGGCATGTAGCTGTGAAGCTGTCTGCGGGCCTCTGCAGCTTGGGTTAGATTCCTGGCCAGCCATGGAGATACCCACATGGTGCGGCAAACCACTCCTGCCTCACCTGCTGCTCCCCTCAGCAGTGTATTTCGGTGGATCTGCCTGTTCTGCTACCAACTCTGTCTCTGGTGATTCCTCTCACCTTCCCGCACATCTGGCCTGTACCGCCGTTCTTGTATAAATAAATAAATAAATAAATCTTTTTAAAAAATGGTTACATGGGGCCTCCCTGGTGGCGCAGCGGTTGAACGCTGGGTTGCAAAGCTGCCCGAAGCCTCCATGGCGCTGGTTCGATCCCCAGCTGCTCCCCCGCCACCAGAGGAGGGTTCCACATGGTGCGCAGACCTCTCCTGCTGCCCGCTGCTCCCCTCAGCAGTGTACTTCCGTCCTTCTGCCTGCTCTGCTCCCCGCTCTGGCTCTGGTGAATTCTCTCACCCTTCCACGCCTCTGACTGTACCCAGTGCTTGTATAAATAAATAAATCTTTATAAATAAATAAATAAATAAATAAATAATAAATAATGGTTGCATGGATTCTTTTTTTTTTGGTTCAAAACATACCTAGACATGAATAAAACACGAAGGTCATTATGTGATTATCCACATTTCGATAATGAAAAGTGAACATTCGACTTTAAAAAAAAAAGATTTTATTTACTTTTGAGTAGAAGAACTGGGGTACAGGCCAGAGGTGCTGGGGTGGGGGTGGTGAGAGGATTCATCAGAGACAGAGTGGGGAGCAGAACAGGCAGACTGACAGAAATACACTGCTGAGGGGAGCAGTGGGATGAGACAGGAGAGGTCTGCTGCGCCATGTGGGTAGCTCCCTGGCCGGATTGAACTGGTACTGCAATGGCTGCGGACAGCTTCACAGTGCTGAGACTTAACCTCTTGCACCACCAGGGAGGCCAACAACATTCACTTTTTAACAGCTACAGTGAGAGCTGAGAAAATTTCCAATTGCAAATGAAGTTGCAAGCTTAAAACCCAGCTGTCTTTAAACTGTAAGAGGTTTCCAAAGAAACAAACAAAAAAATCCTTTTCTCCTTTGGATTTGTGGCTACTAGGATAGATCATTTTAAAATCTAACACTTTAAGTACCTATGAAAATTACCTTCCAATATTTAATGGCTCTTCTTTAAGAGCCATTGTTTTGATCTCTGGGGAAGCAATAAACAATCTAACCCACCTTTCAGGCTAATGGGTAAAGGATGGTTAACAATGAGGAAGTCTAAGTGGGGATTAAAGTCACAAAGAATTCAGACTACCACGGAAAAGACTTCTCCAAAGTCAGAGAGAATTTGGATAGTTTATATTAAGCAAAGAGCATTTTACCTTCGCATTTCACAGAGGAATAAAACTGCATGCTTCATGTTTTAAAATAAAACTCTTTTAGTTTTAAAATAAAACTATTTTAAAGGCACAGCACTTTGTGTTGCTATGAATTAAGTATATACCTTGTGAACACCTTCCTTCCGATTGCAATTCTTGGGGAAAGTTTTAAGCCATCGGACGGCGACATATTTTCTGTGGTACCCTCACCCCCACCACCCACCACCCACCACCCGCCCTGTGTCATTTCAGCCACGCTGTGGCTGGACACCCTGTTGACCGTCCGCAGCAAAACTGGGCAGCTCTGGCATCGCTGGCAGGGGTATTGCCGCGCCACGTTCTTTCGCCGCTCTTTTCGAGATCTCCCACCGCGCACTGACACCTTTTATTTACCTGGCCTCCCTTAGGAACACCAGAGCGTTCGTTATTCATGTAGAACTTTAAGAACGGCTTGGAAGAGGTGGGGGGAGGTGGGCAAGAGGAAGGTCTCTGCTCCCAGGGAAGAGAAATAATGAGGGAGGGGAGGGGACGCAGGTGCCACGCGCCATACCTTATCGGCCTGGGGGCTGATCGGGGCGCCAAACCTGCAGTAGGTCACGAAGTGCTCGCAGTTGTTCCACAGGAGGCTGTAGGAAGAGAGGCCCAGCAGCTTCTCTGCCCGCCGCGCCACCTCTTCGTTGAGCAGAGCCTTTTTCTTGAGAGACTTGTCCAGGTGATTGACCAGGATGTCGGCTCCGTAAGCAAAGTCCTCCACTGTGTCCACGCGGATGCTGGCCACCTTGCCGATGACGCCCAGGATGAGCCGTTTGTTGGAGACCACCTTCTGCGTGAGCTCCTTGTCGTCGGTCAAGGCCAACAGGATGTCGGGCATCAGGTGGGCGACACGGTTGTCGCCCAGGTAGATGCCATAATGGGTCAGGTGGGTCCGGGGCACCTCCAGCACGTCGCCGCGGAGGAACGAGTTGATCTCGTGCAAACTCTTCCTCGCCTTTTCTTCGCCCGGGGCGCCGGAGCTGAAGAGCTTGAAGTTAGAGATGAAGAGCAGCTTCTCCAGCAGCAGCGACACCGCCTCCAGCATTGGGTTCTTCATCCTGCGGGCAAAAGGCAGCCTTGGGGGGACCACCGCGACTCTGCGCGGGCCGGACCAGCAGAGCTCGCCGGACAGGGGCGCTGCGCTGCCGCTCACCTGCTGGTCAGCGGCCCCGAGCCGCGGGGCGCGGCGGCTGCAGAGAAGGGAGCGAGAGGGAGAAGCCTGGAGGTTGGCAGGGCCGCCCCGCCCGGGAAAGGGAGGCGGATGCGGGCCTGGCGGCCGCTGACCCCCCGGGCCGGTGGGGACCCCGCAGCCGAGGGCAGGCAAAGGGGCGCACCTGGGGGCCGTGCCGGGGCGCAGGGCCGCGCGCGGTGCTCGCTGTGCGGCCTTCGCCGGGGCCTTTTATCGCCGTCGAGGGGGCGGGCCGGCGCCGTCACAGACCCGCCGCGGCGCTGATTGGCGGTCGGCGGGGAGCGCCACCCGCGGAGTGGGGCGCGCGGCCCCGTCGGCGCTTTAGAACCAGGCGGGCCGCCGCCCCGCGCCCGGGCTCTGCGGGAGGCGCCTTCCCAGCCCCAGTTCCCTTTAACCCGGAGACCTGACGGTTCCCGCCTGTGAGTGGCCGTTTGGGTTAGTGGAGGCTTAAGGCGTGACCGCACCGCGGATCCCGCACCTGCCCGGCGCGGGCGCAGCCCGACCCTTGCAGTTCGGTTTTGGTTTCTGCCGGCGGACAGTCCCCTCGGGCGAGATTTCCAATCAGAACCACCTCCCTCTAAAAGGTCGGATCCCAGAAGAACCGGGCTTTAACTAACGGGTATTCAGGGCCTGCCTGGTGGTGCAAGGGGTTAAGCACAGCACTATGAAGCAATCTGCAGCCTCTGCAGCACGAGCTCGATCCCCGGCCGGCCAGGGAGCAACCCACATGGCGCAGCAGACCTCTCCTGTCTCCCCGCTGCTCCCCCAGCAGTGTACTTCGGTCACTCTGCCTGTTCTGTTCCCTGTTCTGTCTCTGGTGGGTGCTGTCACCCCCCCCCCCCGCATCTCTGGCCTGTACCCCAGCTCTTATATGCATAAATAAATAATTTTTTTAAAAAAATAAAGTGTATTCACTCTGCAAAACGTGCGTGCGGAGATCACCTGCGCGTTCCCGCGTAAATTCCGCGGCGCTGCAGCCCCCCACGCCGCAGGTGCCCCGCGCGGGGGTGCTGGGGGCCCGCGGGCGCGCGGGCGGGTGGCGGTCGGGCCTCGGGACCCGCGCGGCGACCCCAACCCGAGGCGCCTCCGAGACCCCGGAGACCGTTGAGCGCGCAACCCCCAACGGTCACCGTGGAAAACGGCAAAATGCCCAACGTCCGGCTGACACTCCGGATGATTCTCTGGCGTCGCGGCCACACGGACGGAGCGTCCGCTCGCGCGCCGGGACTGGGGGGCCTCCTTCACCCCGCGGCGGCCCGGGGAGGCGGGGGCGGCCCGCCCCGGCCGCACCCACCGCGCCCACCGCCGCGCGGGAGTCGGGGCGCGGGGCCGGCCGCGCGGAGCCCCGGTCGCCGCGCTATGGAGACGCCGGGGTTCCGAGGACACAGGCGCGGGGCGAGCGCGTGGGCTGCGCAGAGCTAATTCGGGGCGCGTAGGTTTCCTCGACGAGCAGGTTCTCCGCTCGCCCGGGGAGGGGGCTCGCCGCGGGTGGCGGATGAGGGCACAGTCGTCGCACCTGGAGGGTGAAGGGGACCAGGGAGGTCGGGCGGGCAGGGGGGCGCTCCCCGTGCTCCTGGGGGGCGCGGCTCTGGCTCCCCGCGGGGCCCGCCATCCGCGCTCCGTCCCCGCCGACCCGCTCGCCCGGTGAGGGACCCTTTCACAAGATCCTGAAGCAGAGAAGAGAAAACCCCATGTCACGCGCACGAATCTAGAGAGGACGGTGGGGAAGCGGTGGCAAAAACAAAAACAAAACTGAGTTTCCCAGTCTCCCCCCAAAGTTTAAAAAAGCGGAGCTCGAGAGTTCCAGAAACTAATGGAAACACCCCGCCCAGGGCGCACCAGCCCAGCACGCGTCTCCAAAACCTGCGGAGTCTGCGGAAATGTGGAAAAATTGAATCCAGACCCCCCACCGCCCCCCCCGCCCGCCCCGCGCCCGGCCCAGCTGCAGACCCGGCCTAGCCCCTGGCCGCGCCGGTCTGGCCGCGCCGGGAGGCCCCGGGAGTCGCAGCAAACGGCCCGGGCAGATCAAAGGGGCCTGGTGATTTGCGATTTCCGTCTCTGGAGGCCACTAACGCGGCTTGAAACGCCTACGACCGTCTCCACCCGGGGAATGTGCGGGAGACCAAAGCAGGGAGAACTAACTGCCTTAGGGGTCCACCGAGAACCCTTGGGGTGGGAGGAGATTACCTATAGCCCCCCCCCCCCGCAAGAGCAGTGTCTGCGTGGCATTTTGTGGGAGGCTGGCAATGCCAGGCTGATTTGCAGTTGGGTTTTTATTTGGCCGCGCCTCGAAGGGCGGCACCTGAGAAAGAAGATGAGACGGGCCTGCAGCAGCTCCACATGCCTCCAGATCCTTGGAAATGAACGCGGGTGGGAACTGTCCGTAATTCACCAAGGCTTATTTTCGTTTGCTGCTGTTATCTTCCGATTTAAAAACCGGAATGTGATGCCATTAAGGACTTTTTTCTCAGTGGAACTTCCCGCAGCAGCCCTGTCCTCTCCTCGCGCGCCTGCTGGGAATTACTCCTCGTCTGCAAGCCCGACAGAGGCCGTGGAACAAGCACCTGTTACACGTGTTTCTAAAGTCTCCAGACCCCTGATGCCAGGAGCGTAGGGATCGTTAAGCTGCTTTTAAAACATGAAAATATAGGGTAAAATGAGCTCTTGTTTGAACTGACTGCCTCCCTCCCCTCCTCTTAGGACGCTGCAAGTTTACCTTGCAGAAGGCAACCGCTCAACCTCCTGGTAGCTGCAACCTCCTGGTGGCTGAGTGGTCAGTGTTTGATGGCTCCCCTGAGGCAGTCTTCCTTAAAAATACTCTTATAGACTAACAGGCTCACATTTCCACTAATATTGTACTTTCCTGCCTGCAGCAATTTACCTAAACTAAGGGAAGGCATTTGCTCTTAGGAGGAAAGGCCCAAGAGAAAGCTAACATTAGAGAGTTGTCCTAAAGGGCCCCCCTGGGGGCGCAAGGGTTTAAGCACAGCACCCTGAAGCTACCCACAGCCACTGCAGCAGGAGTTGGATCCCCAGCTGGCCAGCAGACCTCTCCTGACTTGCTCGCTGCTCCCCTCAGCAGTGTATTTCGTCAGTCTGCTTGTTCTGTTCCCCTCTCTGTCTCCGGTGAATCCTCTCACCCCTTGTACCCCAGTTCTTGTATGCATAAATAAATAAATCTTTTTAAAAAAAAAGTTCTCCTAAAGCAGACACCTATCATTTGGGTGAGTCCCCTGGAATTGCTAGCAAGCCCTCTTGTTTCCCAGAGGGTACCAAAGGAGGTCACAGTGAACAAGTGTTGATATGCAAATCCTTAATAGCACAGGAATGGGCTGACAGGTCTGGCCCAGCGCTTCTTAAAGAGCCCAGGCTTTCCTGGAGAAACACTGAGGACTCTGACCTGTGGACCCGCATCTGCCCAGCAGGCAGGCTCATGGCCTCTTCTCCCAGCTGCACAGGCCAAGGCTCCATATCTCCATCAAAAAAGGCTGAAATTAGGACTCACAGATCTCGCCCAACGTCTGGGGTTCAGTTTCAGACTCTTGGCCTCATTGTGGGTCCCAGGACAAAGAAGTCCCTCTCAAGGACAAGGTGCCCAGTCCCGTAGAAAAGTCTGGATGGGTAACATCTCCTACCTGCAGGCCTTTTACCTTTGAAGGCTCAGGCTCTGGAGTGGGGGATGTGATTGCAGTGGATAAGATTAGCAGCAACAGCCTATGCTTATTGTGTTCTTCCCATGCGCTAGGAAGGGACTAAACAAGTTCTCACTTACTCCTCACACTCACAGATGTCGCAGATGTCACCCTGTGGGGTCACATCTCTGTTCTACACACAGAGAAACTAAGGCTCACAACTGTGTCTCAGTGGTGGAACAGGACACACCCACCGTTTTCTTTGCCACCATTAGTTCAGCCACTCCTCATCCTTACATTTCTGGGGTACCTGCTATGTGCCCAGTGCTGGGCCCAGTCCCAGAAGTTAGATAAAATACGGAACCCTACTTCAAGCCTGCCAGCCTTTCTTTTTAACTTGGACTTCACCCCCCTGCTTCTCTAGTGCCTCACGGCCCAATCTTAAACATTTCTACTGAAATAGTGAGAAAGGCCTAGTTAATCTGGTGAAGTTTCGGTTAATAGTACCCCCTCAGCACAGAAGGCCCCAACACAGTGAGTGGACAGAACCCTACACCTTCCTCACATGCTGTATCTGTGGCCAAGGCCCGGGCCCAAGGGCACAGAGGCAGAGGCAGAAGTGAGGCCAGGCCCCACCCAGACTTCTTTCTTAGACCTCTTTTGCTGAGCCCTAAGCCTGATGAATTCAGTTTTCGAAACTTCATGATTTTAAAGTAGTAGCCTATTTTTTTTTTTTGGTAGGAGTTAAAACATTGGATAGCTAAATAATATTTTTCTTCTGAGCTACCTTCTCAATCCTGGCCCCCAGGACAGACAACACCCTTACAGGCTAACTTTAAGAGGTGGGGAAAGTAGAGGCCTTTGTAAAATTCCCTCCAAAAACAGGAAAAAGAGCAGACACCTTTTCATGTGCTTTCTAACTCAGAGCTACCTGGGGTGTTCAGCTAATAGGAACCAATTCCTTCCTGGGATGAAGATTCCCCTGCCTTCCTTCCTAAGGCTAGCACCTTAGGATGAGGGCCTCCGTCCTGCCAGTGGCCTTTAGAAAGATGAAAGGCTGCAGCTTCAGCCAGCCAGGACTGAGTTGGGGTTTCCTTGCCGACCAGAAAATAAGAACATTGAGCAAAACAAAGAATTTACCTTTAGCATTATGAAGACTCATGCAAATGAGTATACATACAACTTCTTATAAATTAGCCACAGCTTGAGGCAGCTGTGCTGTAGAGGAAGGAGCTAGAAACTTGGAGTTTAAAGTCTTGCTGTGCCCTTTCCAGCAAAATTAACTCAACACATCCTTTGCCACGTGGAACCTTGATTTTCTCTAACATAGGGATACTACTTCAGAAGGTGGTTTTGTGGACTAGGCACATCTAATGCAGTGCTATATTCAAAATGTGATGCAGCCACCTTCCTGCCACTTGTATTACCCTTCGAGGAAACCAAGTTGGGTAGGGGTGCTTGTCCCTTCTGCTCTGACAGCACAGTCACCCAAGAAGACAGTGTAAGCAAAGAACTGCTTTTACTCATGACTCTTTCTGATGACTCAGCCCCGAGCCACAAGGGTAAGCAGAAAGTGGCCCCCAAGTGTTCTGGAGCTGGGGGCAACCTCAGAGGCCAGTCAGGAGGCAGCTGCACAAGGAACTCACACTGGGAATTTGGAAGCTTTCTCAGAGCTGTACTGTGCAAACTGCTCAGAGCTGAGTCTTTTGTAAATCACAAGACCTTGACGTTTGTTTGAAAAGCTCTCAGGCAAGGTATTACCCCTCCCACACCCCACACCTTCCCTCCCCCCCCATTCATTTTGGAAACAATAAAATGACCTAAAAGCAAGAAATGACTAGGAATGTTGAGATGCCCACATGTAGAGCACATGAAAATACAAACAATAAATGGCAAGCATTTAAGAACATAGAGCAGTTAAGTAACTACCTTGCAGATTCCTTTTCTTTTGATTCTAATTTATCACTCCAGGGCAACCTATTACTAATTAGGTGACTCCAGTTTGCTAACAAAGTAAATATGACAAAAGCCTTTTGCTACATACGCAAAACACAATTACAACACCATAGGGTTCATGTAGGAAATGGACAGAGAAGTCAGGTATTGCTGTTCCCCAAACAGGACAGCAATCACCAGCCGTGCTAAGCACTAGGAGCCGGGATAAATGTCATTATTAGTTGTATTTCAAAGACCCCTTCTACACAGTTGAAAGATTCCTCCCCATCCCCCATACCTCATCATCACCCAGGTAATTTACAGTTACATTAACAGGTTGAGAAAGCATTACTGATTAAAAACAATTAAGACTATCTCAGGAAAACCACAAAATTATTTGGTGTAGCCATCTTACATGATTATGTATCCTAGAAAAAGCTAAATATTTTAGCAGTGGTGTCATGAGAAGTTACATCTTATGTTGATGTATGTCTGCTCTGGAACATAAATAATAATTTCGTTGTCCCAGCACTACAGTGAAACACAAAAATAAAAATATAAATTCATTAAAAATTCAAATAAAAACATAAAATTCACAGGACTACAGTGAAATACAAAAATGTAAATATAAATTCATAAATATAAATTTTAAAATACATAAATTCATTCATAAATTCAATGATCCCTTCTAAATGCATAGGCATCTTTTTCCCACAGTAATTCCAGGTAACTCAGTGCAGAACTTTCTTCATATCAGGCTTAGTCTTAACTACTCAGATCTGCTAGCTTGTGAGTCCAAGACTTGAGAGGCCTAGTAGTGGACCTCATCCGGAAAGTGTCATGAGCAAGATTAGAATTAACTCCTCCAAATGGGAATAGTTCACAAGCCTATGAAAACCAAATTACTCAGGCCCTTCATAGAGTCTTAACTATTGTTCTTGATGAATTTTCACAGGGAATAATTATCGGAAAAAGAAGACAGATTATTGTCCAGTAATTTAAAAAGCTCTATCAGAACCACAATAACTACTTAACAAATGCAATATCTCACTGAATTTTAAAAAAGAAAGAAATCATTCGTATTTCAATGAAGCAGTTACACGAGGAGAGAAAGAGCAGGCGTTTGGCAGCAGGTGGATGGAAATCAGTGGTTCTTTTGACCACAGATATGCTAAAATTTTAAATGCTATAGACCCTGCTGGACCCATATTTTGTAGCAATATGTATGACTGATACGGTTTTTGACAAGAATAACATGTCTCTAATATCTAAGTTAATTTGGACCTCCCTGGTGGTGCAGGGGTTAAAGTCTCAGAGCTATCAAGCCACTATAGCAAGAGTTGGCCCCTTGGCCAGGGAGGTGACCCACATGGCACAGCAGACCTCTCCTGATTCGCCCACTGCTCCCCTCAGCAGTGTATTTCAGTGGATCTGCCTATTCTGCTCCCCACTCTATCTCTGGTGAATCCTCTCACCTGCACCCCCCCCCAACCGCACCTCTGCCCTACACCCCAGAAATAAATAAAAATAAATCTTAAATAAAAAACCTAAGTTAATTTGAAGGGTAGCAAGTGTGTCATCCTGCCGTTTTTGTAATTACTTCTACTCTTTCCCCACCCCATGCTAAAAAAATTCAAAGAAGTTCACCTATAGCTGATTCATACCTAAATGGCTCAATCCACTTGTCAGGCCTCCTAATGGTCTTTGTCCCATCCTTGTGGCCATGTGTGATCCTCAGCTACAGGCTTGCCAGTTTCCTGGTGGCAGACAAGAAAGCAGAGCACAAAGCCCACATGGGGGGCCAGGATGGCGGCAACGTCCAGCAGCACCCCCCGCCCTCCAGAGCTTGGCCGCAGTGGTGGCCAGTGAGTGGCTGTGAACAGCCTTGAGAAGGCCCCTGGGGAAGCCCTACTAACTTTTATATGATGTACAGACAAAGTGGGCACAGTGTCAAGTTTAGGTTTCGTTTCATTTCCAAAAGTCTGTTCCTGCATGTGAATTACACGTGAAGATTACATTATTATTTACTGCTCTCTGCACATGCTGAGGACACCTCAAGGCTACATGTTACCTGTATACTAGGCCACCTGTGTTGGAAGGTCACAGCAAAAAACAATCTGATAAAACTCTGTTTTCCTACACCACTATATCAAAAAGGTAATTTGATTTTTTAAAATATTCTCAGACTTCTTAATTGGTAGAACTAACTCCCCATAGGCGCGCTCCATCCTCTGAAGGCACAAACCTGTATGTTCCGATTAAATTCACTCATTTTTTATACTGGTAGCCTTCTAAAATAACTTACCTTACCTTTAAATCAGATTATATATACTTACTTCCATTTTACTTCCATCCAGCCTTTGTATGAAAAAATTGGGTGAAACAGAGATTGGCTCATACTGAGTAAAGAAAATAAAATCTTTATTTTATTTAAATTTGATTAAAAACCTGTGACACTGTTTTCCTCTACATAGGAATTTAAATCTGAAATTCCTATAATTTCAATTAGTTTAATTTTCAAGAAGATTAGGATATTTATTCTTGGTCACAATTATTTCATGTTCTAACACATATTTTATACTTTTACTTTCCCTAGCTGTCATTCCTTTCTCTCTTATTTAATACTAAGGGGTGAGGGTCTGGAATGGAGGGTGCTGATGGTTTTCTGTGGTATCCTCTAATGGGACCATTCCTGCTGGCTCTAGTCTTGGGTCCAAATGGAACCAGAAAATCACAATGTTATGTGCTTTTTGGAAGCTAGGAAAGCAGATTTGCAGTCAGCGTGAGAGTGCCCTGGGGCCTTAAGATCATTGTCTCATCCTCTGTGCCCTACCTCTTCCAGAAGCATATGCAACCAAACAGACCACGCAGTGAGCCTCAGGGTGCCAGACTCAGCAGGGCCTGCCCAGGGGAATCAATGTAGGGCAACCCTAGAGACTGGCCCAAATATATGGGTGGGAGAAAGTGATGATGAGTGATGAGTAAGGATTTTTGTTCCTCTAAGACAGGAGAGGAGGAACCAGACAAAAAGTGTAGTTCTAGAAGTAACTGGCAGTGGCAGCCCTAAAGATAGTCATTCATACCATAGATGTTGAAGAAAACTCAGAAACCCCATCAATTGGCATAGTTCACATAAATGTCTCAAATTCTGATGCGACCAGGAAATTCATACAGTCATTGAATAATAAGTTGAAAGAGTGACACTAGCGTTTGCTACAAATCTTAATGAAAAATGAAAGTTCTGAATTCCATTGCTACTAAGATCATTTATTTCTAATAAATTTTACAGGCATGTTTCAGGATCATGATCCTTTTCCCTCCTCATTGTTAAGCAAGAATAAGCTCTTCTTAGCGATGTCAATCTCTAAATTAGGGGTAAGGTGGGTGCTGACTGGGGAATCATATTAGGGAAAATCAGGATCATCAGAGCAATATGGTATAATTCTAATCACATTTTTATTAAATCACAACAAAATCATAGAATTTACTATGAAACAGAAAGTATTTATAGTTAATTGACATTGGCTAAATGTCTTCTGCACAAAAATGCAAAAACAGTTTTATAGCAAACCTTGAACTTAATTTGAATTCCAACTATTAGGAGATGGTATCATTCATTTTCCAAGCTGAGAAAGAAAAAATATTCTGATAGTTCCTATTTTTCCAAATTCAGTATGAGAATACTATAAATGTATTATAACTGTATAAGTAATAAAACTGTTTCTTTGAACCTGAATTAATCTGTGTACTAAAGTATTTAAATGACATTTAAAATGAAGAGTAACATATCCTTCATATAAATGACAAGATTAGCCCAGCTTGATTTTAATATATTATTTAAAAAATCAGTTTATCAAGATTTTAAGGAATATGCTTTACAGAAAAATAAATCAACATTCTCTTCAAATGCTTACAGAATATAGCTACTAGAGTTCTTATTTGTCCCATGTTGTCTCTTTGGTGTTTACAGTTCTATACACATATTAAAAATCACAGTTATAAACCAATGCTCTGCCATAAAAATTGATACAATTTAAAACAACAACAAAACTGTTGTCTAGTGGTAGATAAAGACTTGTGAGTTGTGTGGCCCCATTTAAAAGATTTACTTATAGTGAATATTTTCTACTGTATATAGTGAGTATTTTTTACTGGATTCAACTTTGCACCTGTAAATCTTTCCAAAGTTAAAGCTCTCTTATTCACCTATTAATGACTTTAAATCAGGAACATTCTTTATCTGGAAGTCCAGTATCATTTGTCCTAGTGCTTTACCCTATTGAACAAAACAGAAAATTACTGAGGGTTCAGGTGTACCACATGACTACAAGAAATTCACTTCACCAGTGAGGTCCATGCGTTACTGTCCTAGACGAACAGTATAACTAAAGACGTGAGTTATTTTTTACTAACTTTATGGTTCTTTCCTTTATCTAATAACTGCTGCTTAGAATAACTTCATGAGCTTCATTTGATTCAAACGATGCCTTAAAGGACAGCAGAGCTACAGAGAAGCAGAACTGAGAGTCGTTTATGTAGTTCTGCCAAACTCAAGTCATTGCCAAAAGATCATGCGTTTGAGCAAGACTGAAAGCAGTGTCCGAATGATAAGGCAATTCACACACATATGTGCCAATTTAAGAGATACTCCCACTAACCAAAATATTGTGACACCACCTTTATTAAAAATTAAATGGCCACCATCAGTTGTCAGTTATCACCAGGCAGCTCTAAATACAGCAAAGTTTCAAAATAACAGGCAACTATTGAGGCTAAGTGATACATAGACTGAGCTAAAGTTACTGATTTTAGTTCTTAGGATGACCCATGCCTATTTCAACTAAATTCCATATTATCCCTTTGCAGCTGGTTCTAGACTGTGACGAAAAGATAATGACCTTCTTTCCTTCAAATCATGGCTCTCCTTAACCTAAAGAATACCAAACACTCTAACTTCAAGACTAAGTTGTATATGAATTATTTTCTTAAATGTCAAGATACTATTTTCTCTCTTGCTCTATAATCTTCAAATACTCTAAGGCAAAGCTTATTAAAATGAAGACAACTATATTTCATTAGGAAACTATCCAGAAAGTCTTCACGCCTATTTTCATCCTCATTCTAAACTGGGAGCTCACTAATACAGCTATGTGTCACTTAAGAAGCTTCGGTCAATGATAAACCCCATATCAGGTGATCCGATACGCTACACCACATGGCCTAGTGTGCAGGAGGTGAGAGCATCTAGGTTTGTGTGATGACACTCTATCATGTTTGCACAATTATGAAACTGCCTAATGACATATTTTTCAGAGCATATCTCTGCCTTTAAGCAATGCACAGCTGTACTAGAGAACATCCCTGGGACCTCCTTAGTGGCACAAGGGGTTACACCTCAGCACTATGAAGCTAACTGCAGATACTGCAACATGAGTTCATCCTGGCCGGGGACATGACCCACATGGCACAGCAGACCTCTTTTATCTTTCCTACTGTTCCCCTCAGCACTGTATTTCAGCAGATCTGCCTGTTCTGCTCCCGGGTCTATCTCTAGTAAATCCTCTCACCCCCCCACACTTCTGGCCTGCACCCCAGTTCTTGAATACATAAATAATCTTTTTTAAAAATAGAGTGTACCCCTGGGCCATATGAAAGGTTGCCAATAACAAGCTGATATCAGCAACACATGGAAAAAAGATACAAAAAAGAAAATGTTCACTGCTGAGATGCTCACCTGTGGGTCACTTCTCAGCGAGGCAGTGCCTCCACCACCAAGGCAATTTCTCAAAACAAAGTTCAATGCATATGTTCCTGGCAATTCATATCTACAAAAATAAGGAAAGTAAACATGAATTATACAGATTTTGCCAATGACAAGGAAATCCCAAGGAAATCCCACAGTCAGCCCTATGATAGCCATAAAAAATTAAAGAGATTTAGATGTGAATATGAACATAAATATTCAATAGATATTTTATGCAAGAATGAATTGATTGGAAAACCAAGGCTAAATTCAGTCAGGATATCATCACTTAAAAAAGAAAGGCACTTGGTAAGGAAGAAGAGAAAGGTATTTTTTCTTTTAACGTTTGACAGAATTACCAAGTACAAGAATAGTTACAGAACATAATGAATTCCCATATAGTCTTCGTTCTGATTTTCCAAATCTTGCTTTCTCCCCTCTCACTCTCTTCCCCAAGCACACTCATGTTTATACATACACATTTTTTTCTGAACCATGTGAGAATTGCAGATATGATGTCCCTTTATCCTTAAATTCTCCAATGTGTTTCCTGAAAGCAAAGGCCTTCGCCTTCTTCTACAATTCACAGTATAAATATCAAAGCCAGAATATTAGCAATGCTATAATGAGCCTATGGACTTATTCAGAATGTGCCAGTTCTCTCTGTAATGTTTTTATAGCAAAAGAAAATTCCAAGTCATGTGGTGCAGTCAGTTTATGTTCAGCTCCTCTCCTCCCATCTAGAACATTTTCTCAGTCTGTCTTTCACATTTCTAGGGACTGCACGCCTGCTCTTCTTGATTTGTGTTTGATGTTTCCTTATGATTCAGTTATGTACATTCAGCAAGAATGCAGCAAGATTTATACTGTCCTCCTTTTCACATCAGTAGGCACATGGTGTTGATTGGTTCCATTGCTAGTGAAGAAGAAAGGCAGCCCCTGTCATCTGGGATGGGAGGAAGACACTAGCTCGCCTTGAAGTTGCTAGGAGACATATGGGCTAGCACAGTGCATCCTGGTGCTCTTCTGTTGAACATAAACTATTTCCCAGAGCATCAATATTAGGTGAGGTCATTAATGTGTGAACACAGACAAAACAATGGACACTGTCATTATCACACACGTGGCCAAACACTCCTCTCTCCTGGCTAATGTGTGTGGCAGTGGCTTCTTGGTAAATGACAGCTGTAGCTTCAGTCCAGCCATCTTTTCTTCTATATAAGGTGTGACATAAGGGAATAAGATACCCATGATAGAATTTACCCTGCTTCCTGACAGCATTCAACCCAGAACCGCTTCCTTAACCATACCCCTAAATTACCTAATGCAAACCCCAATCCTGTAATTAGTCCTTCCCCCCACTCTCTTACCCAGATGCCCAGGTTTCACGGTGTGCACCCCTCTTCACTGCAATGATGAGTAACCCCAGTTTTTCCAGTTACAAATGGGCCCTGGAGACTGTAGGCTGCAAAGCGCTGCCACCAATGAAGATAGCTTGAACCAGCTGGTTACTGCATGTTTGCCAGATTTACCTATTGTAAAGTTACTATTTCCCTTTGTAATGAATAATTATCTTGTGGGGCGATACTCGTGACTATGTAAATAAGCCACGAATAACCAAATGGATGACTCTTGTCTGAATCAGTCGCTCCTGTGATGGCTGTCATAGACAATTTTTGCATTTCCAGTCTTCCTTCTGCAATAAGGAGATTTTGATCATAAGGAAGAGTTCCTTCTTCTTCCCTACTTATTAGCATTGTTTTGGACTTCACTGTAAGCTTATTTTATTTAATAGATTATAATCCATGTTTCTTTTATTTTAATGGTCAAGTGAACCCAGGTTCATTGAGTGGGAGCTCCTGCAGGCTGACCTGTGTGTTATTTGCGTGCTATTTGGTGTGTTATTATTTGGTGTGTTATTATTTGGTGTGTTATTTTGGTGTCTTTCTGCCACCACAAGATATTTCAGTCTCATCTTTTTCTTTCCCACTCCAATCTTACAATCAGCTGTTTCTCCATCGGTCTCTTTCCTCTGGTGGAGAACTGATTCGAACCCAGGGTATTTTTCCTTTACATTTTCTACCTTCAAGGAACCCAAACAACAAGGCTTGGGTTTTTTTTTTACTAAGCAATTTTTGCTACCAATTTTATATAGTATTAAACATATTCATTATTACTCAAATGAATGCCATTCTTAAGAGCAGATTCTAAATGTGTTATTTCAAGCAAAGACTAATCTTAAATAAGAGAACCTGCTTGTAAGCTCACTTTCACTGCTATCAGAGCAGTAAATTGGGAACACAGACTTCTGCTCTATCAAGTGCTGGTAATGTGAAGAGGCGTGGGCATCATGTCTACCTTGGTGGGTGTAAAGCTGTTGTAGATGAGACAGGACATGCACAGTGATTACAAAGAGGTGGCAGGTATCAAGTGACAACTGTGTAGTGGATAGAAAATATATTTGTATGGGGGCTGATATACAACTGAATAATTACTATCAAAGCCAACCTTTTTTTATGTTGAGCAGGGTTGATGCAATTATTTTCCTTGAGCTTCTGCTTCTGCTTTGTATTGTACTCTAGGCTCAAGTTCTATTTCTCTGTGATTTTGTTTGGTTTTCATATTATTGTTTTGCTTTGTTTTATATTTCTAAGCAACCTAGATGCTGGGCCTATATCTAGGTTTATATTTCTAAGCAACCTAGATGCTGGGCCTATATCTTAAATGTTTTGTAGCCCTAGCTCACTGGCATGTAATTGCCAGTAAATAAGATAAGAGGCCACATTCACCCCCCCATGTCCCAGGGTCATATGGGAGCAGCCCTTTCTAAAGAAAGGTGACAGACTTACTAGAAGACCTCTGACAATCGCCCATAGTTAATGGTTATTACAGGACTGGTTATATGTTATATGTATGTATGTGTGTGTGTGTGTGTGTGTGTGTGTGTGTGTCTAGAGCTAGAAAATATGTGTGGTATTTTTAACTTTTTTTGGCAAAATGAGTGGGTACTTTTATTGGCATCTCTAAGTCATTTGCTTCAAAAAGTCATCCCCAAGTTTCATGAAAAATAATTTTATGAATAAGTATTTATAGAGTGGCATGGCTACTAACAAATTCTTTTAAATTTTTGTTTCAAAATGTAGACATACTTTAAATTTGACAAAAGCTCATAAAAATAGGAAAGTCCTCTGTTTCAGCTGACGGCGCATACCTATACACCATGGGGCGCCCTCCTAATTAATCCTTTAGTGTGCTGCCCTTGCTTTCAGCAGTCATTAGAGATCAAACTTCGAGGAGAATTTCCTGTTAGTTTTGGCTAAATTATTATTGATGAATTATGTAGAAAATTAGAATATACGTATTGATTATAGATCATCTTTGGAAGGAAACAAAAATACAAGGAAGAAAATGTGCCTGCCTAGTATCTAGTAATAGAAACAGCATATGATTAGACTATACCTCAGAAGACACGCGGGAAATTAGGCTCCCGCAGGCCAGTGTTGGTAAAGATTGGTGCCATATGGGTTTGCTCAGAGCAACTAGAAACATACTCCCTCCTTCGTTACCAGGTGGCCCCCAAAGAAAGAATATGACTTTTCTCCAATTTTACTTAAAATTCTACTTCCCCACTTTTACTTAAAAAGTAAAGTATTTCTTTTATTTAAAATAAAAATATTAAATTTAAACATATCACAAGATTTAAACATAAAAATCTTTAAATTTAAATCTTAAATTTAAACATAACTTTTATGACTTCACGGCATTTGAGCATGCTTAGGAAAAGAATGTTACACAAAGAAAATCCCAGCCCCTTAGGAATCTATTTAAGCATTAAGTCATTCAAAAATAGTCAAAGAGATACACTGTATGGTGTTCCCTGATACTGATAGGAAACTAAGACCAAATTACCCAAATTATTCTTTCTATGGTGACTTTATTAGGAAAAATGACCAACCAGGTGGGTACTATTATTGTTGCTAACTAAAAGGTAAGCCATGTGGAAACCATATGCTTTTCTCGTTAGCAAAAATAATCAGAAATTACTTTTTCTAGATTTAAAACATTTTCTAGGACTTAGTTCTCCAAATGTAGATTCTAAGTTTACCCACTGATAATGATCATGCCGTTTTTAAATCACAGTATTCTGGAGTAATTCAACACCCCCTACTGATCAGGGCAAGTGTGACTGAGTACAAAGTTGCAATTACAGAGTGCAAATGGCTCTAATCTCAGGATACCCTACAAATAACAAAGGGGGCAGATGAGGGGGTGGGGCTGAAGCAGTGGAAACCTATCAACATCCTCAGAGATCAATGAATATATGTCACATTCACTTAAATATTTAAGATAAAGAGCAAGGAGTTTAGGGTTAGGTGAGGCAGGTTTCAGGATACCAAGGGGAAACACATTATCTGTCACTGTCCTCCTTAAGCACATAAACTTAAATTTCACTAAAGCTGAGTATTTAAGAATTACTAAATTCTTAGGGGATGTACTTTGTTACTTTATTCAAATACCGAATATTCACTGAGACAGATACTGAAGGGCAACAGAATATATCAGGCTTGCTTTTGGGGACAAAACACTTCCATTATGAGGCAAATTAATTTGGGAGTGGGGGTAGTTTTTTCAAAAGCAGAGTATAAAAAAAGGAGAAACATGAAAATCATATATATTCCTCAAATATTTTTAACTACATAACTATTCATAAATGACATTCACAATGTATTTAAATGGGTCTTCCCAAGTACACAAATATAACATAAAATGTTAACTTTTAGTTACTAAGATATAGTAATATAGTCCTTGTAATTTCTACAAATTAAGGTTTCTAACCTATCCTTTAGTAGCTTAATTTTCTGTTTTTAAAATTTTATTCTAATACCAAAAAAACCAGACCTTCCATTATACAATTTCTTAATTCAAAGGGTTTTTAAATACCCCCAAGACTTTCTCTGAAATTAAGTAAATGCATTTAATGATTTTCCACCTCCACTGCTAAATACTAGTTTACAAACTAATACTAAAATTCTATGAAAAGTAATCCCAGAGTCGCTATGGTCTATCACGTTCTGGGTGTCC